ACAGCAAAACAGAAATCTGTTTAATACCGAAAAAAGCGTTTCTGGTTCTAAACTGACCAATTCAGCTATCTTTGCAACCTTACTTTTTTTTGATTGTCCCATTTAGTATAAAATTCAAGGTTTTTTAACATGTAATGGAGAATGACAAAAAGCGAGAAGTAAACAAATAAAATATTTAAAATGCCATGTTGGTTAACCCCTAAAATTAATATACAGACATTCGACAACAAACAAACAATATTTACTCATGTTTCGGAGGAGTAAAAAACGCACAATTCCTGGGTTGCCCTAGTAAGCATACGGATAAATGCACTCCTTAGACATCTGTTTGATTAAAATACCTTGCTCATTGTTCACCAAGGTATGAAATATGACATCTACTAACCATGAATAATGCGAATCATGTTCATTGAATGAGTAATTATGGCAATTTCTGAATTGATCCTTAATTTCAGCAATTGTAAGTGATAGCCTGGTGCATACTGGCGAGAAGTCATAAATGATCTTATATAATCCTGGTCCTTTCTTCTTCTTATAGAAAGTATGTATTTGATGATTCATGAATAATTCTTTAAGTCGTTTTGCGAGTGTATCCACGTCATAGTAGTATTTGTAGAATGTATAGAATATATAATATTCATACTTCGTATCAACACGACTATGTTTGATGAACCATTCATTAAACAAATCATCAAATGTAAATATTCCTACGTGGTAGATGTCAGGTTCAGCCAAATTATATTGTTCAAGTTGTTTTCTGGAACCACATTGATCCACCATCAGCCCCATTAACTTATTGAAGACCAGAATCTCAAATTTACACTCTTCACCTTCCCAATATTTCTCTTTACACTTCAATATATTGATTTCCTCCTTCAAAAGTGTTGAACAGAAGCCTTGCTGAAGTTGTGAAGATANATCAACACGACTATGTTTGATGAACCATTCATTAAACAAATCATCAAATGTAAATATTCCTACGTGGTAGATGTCAGGTTCAGCCAAATTATATTGTTCAAGTTGTTTTCTGGAACCACATTGATCCACCATCAGCCCCATTAACTTATTGAAGACCAGAATCTCAAATTTACACTCTTCACCTTCCCAATATTTCTCTTTACACTTCAATATATTGATTTCCTCCTTCAAAAGTGTTGAACAGAAGCCTTGCTGAAGTTGTGAAGATATGTTGAACTTATTCCACCCTCTGTAAACTAGTTGTAACTGTTCTTGTAGGTATTCATACTGTTCATTGTGTAGTTCATTTTTCAACCAGTGTATCATTTCTTCCTTTGAATTAAATCCCATGATCTTTTTATAGAATTGCTTCGTTATAAAATCACAATTATGACTGTCTCTGTAAAACATTTTGAATAATATGGTCTCAGCAATGATTCCACGCATTGTAGAAATTATGGAGCAGGGTTCAGGTACATCCACCAGAGTCAATATTTCATTGCTAAAATCCAGACACATTCTTGATAATTCAGCTTGATCAAATACTTTGTAGTTGGCATCTTTGATTTGTGCAACCATATAAGTTACAGCATCATATGAATTTGAAGCAAACATACTCATTTCAATTCTTAAATTAGCCTTCGCACCTTGGGTATTCATAACGTTGGTAATAAATTGTTTGAAACTATTCCTATGATGATTTTGTGGTCTAACGGTCTTTAGGAATTTTATGCCATACATATTGTTCACTGCATGGTGCAGCAATGCCTTTGGGAAAGTGTAATTCTTGAATGCTCTCTGGTTTAAGAACTTAAATGGATGATTGTTGTAGATGTTAAGTTTGAGTATGTCACTCATTTTCAATTTTGCTTGCATTTTAGAATTCTTCTTTGTAAAAGTACTTGTCCAGCCATGTACATTATTAATTGAATTATTGAAGAATGGACAGTGTGATTCAAGTCCCATACTTTTTGCGTTTGTGGAGTCTTTTGTAAGAAATAATGTTTCCCGTGTGTTTGATTTCACAACTGTGTTAATTGAAATATCCAGTATTAGATTACCATATCTAAGATCAAAGCACCTGTTAGAAAAATCTTCAAGAAGGTGTACAAGGTTCGTGCTTTGGAATTCTATCTTAGATCCGTAACATTCTATGAAGATCTTAACATTTCCCTCTAGTTTTGATCGTAGTTTCTGAATTAATGTTGCCAGTAAAATAGTATCTAAATTGAGTACTGTTCTACCGTACTTGCTATACCAATTGGAACATATTGTTGGATTAGTGGTCTGTGATTCAGTAAATATTGCTGTCGTTATATCAAATATCATATCTGCAACCGCTGATTCAAGCTTATTAGTATCATATACAACGAACATGTAAGCACGAACAAGTTCTGACATAGTTGACATACCCAAAAATACATAGTTTGTCTTGGCAAAGTCAAAGGCACCGTCGTCAATTGCAATAAAGTGTTTTGTTCTGATCTTCCAATCAATCTTAGTATCTAAATTAAGTTGAATTTTGCCTTTGAATCCTTGTAAATTAGTTTCATTGAGAAAACCTTTGAAACCATCTATATCATATCCCACAGCAACATGTTTTTCGTCATCTTGGGAAGTATTCTGTGTTGCATATTCGTAATTAGATATAACTGTACTATAATCGTTGACATTCAAGTTATATATAGGTTGATTGGTTATTTGTACTTCCTTATTACCACTCTCTAATTGAGCTAGACTCAACATTTGCTTTGTAGGTTCAAATTCAGGTACGTAATCCTTGTTTAATTTGAATAGTTCTGGACTAAAAACCAAAGAACTTTCAATTCTTTCTTCCAAATCAGCCTGTGTAGTCAATGTCTTTGTAAAATATGCAGGATACCATATATCATATTGAATACAGTGAAATACCCAAAGTCTCAGAT